GGGGAAACCCTGGTCCTTTTTTGTGACATCGGGTTGCGCAAAACCACCTACCATCATCTGCTGCTGTCTCGCCTGTAGACCTACGAGTGCGAAATCTGCGGATGGGCGAGGACATAAGCAACCTTCCGGGTTCCCAACTCCCGGATCCGCACTCTGTGGGCAGCCGTTTTTCCAGATCCTTGGTCCTTCAGCTGAGCCCGCGGATGCGGGTTCGGGATATTGTATCGAGCCCTTGGTGTTCAACGCATGTGACACGCATTAGAAAACCGAACGCTTCGCCGAGTTCTGGCGCAGTTCTGTCTCCCTCTCCGCACTCCAGACCCCTACCCCCGAACTCTTCACGGGGGACAAAGGCAGAGAATTGTCGGTGGCCTCGCCCGGGTGTCCTACCCGCCAAGTTGATCGTATCTGGATGAAGCCTGTTTCCGCCTTGGACGTATCGATTCGGGCGCAGTTGATGACCTCCTCAAGGATTTTTGGCAAGAGGCAGTACAACGTCAGGGCGTACCTGCTCATTGCGCACAACCTAGCGACGGTGCTCTACATGTCTCCCATCCGGCGTTGATGTACCTTTTTCATATCGTCGATTTTCAGTCTTACACTTGCAGAACTGTCACGGCACGCGCTGGCAAACCCGTACACGAAAGCTTCTGTTCTCCCGCCGACCGCACTCACCTCGCATCCAGACCTCATACGGAGGATATAGTTCTCCAGGGTTAAGTTTCCGTCACACCATCAACCCGCCATCGGTTGTCGATTCCACCACCCCATCTCCGCGCTTCCCGTTTGCATGCCCCATGCTCGGAAGAGGTCCCGGTTGAGAAAAGAAGTATCGCCCGGCCATCGTTTTCGTCCCCACCACCATCTACTGATAAATCGAGCCCAATAAAACAAAAATCGCCTCTTACCGAAAATCGGACAAAGTCGATTTATGTTTGGTTGGAGAGAACCTACTCTATGCCTACACATTCCCGTCGGCGTTGCGAAGATTAACAACCCGTTACTGACTATCGGCGGGATTTGATGCCGATCCCAGATTCATGACCCAGTTTTTCTGACGAGTCCTCCCCGGTCCAGGGAATACAAAGCCCCCGATTCATCGACCAACTATCAGATGGTTTTTTATCACGAGCGAGGCCCAGACGTCGTCCTCGGTTGGAAGACCAAGATTAGATCGCCACGTTGTTGGCGGTCACAGGGCGTAGACGCTGTGTGAACTCGTGTCGCGACGTACAAACGCCGCTTGTTCATCGTCGGACGAGAGCCGGGCTACTCTGAGCGCCCTGCGAGGGGATTTTCCGTGCGTGAAGAACGCCATCAGCCCCGAGCCTGCTTGTGCCTTTGGGGCGTGTACGCCGGGGACCTGTCCAAAGCCTACAGCGTGAGCCCACAGTTGGTTGAACGGATAAAGGCCCCTTCTAGACGGGTATTTCTCGCCGTGTGGCTTAGCAGCCGCGTACACTGACCACCGGCGGCGCGAAATATGCGCGTTCGTTCACGTCTTCGGCTACCACGGGGATCATCATTACTACCTACCTCGCTCAGTGGTATTGTAATTTCTTCTTTCGTATCTTACAGTGATGCTCGTGGAACCCGTCCGCGAAGCACGACGAACCATTCCTGGCCGGTACGGCGGACTGGATTATAGAAAATGTAGAACACGGCCTCTTTCGCCCGATGAACAGCTGCCGCGTGAATGGTAGCGGCGTCGCTTGCGTGGCTGTCTCAGCTGCTTTTCACAAATATTAACCGCCCGCCTATGGGCGTCAATGGGGCGATAGCGACCCACGCCTCTCCTGAGCTGATGACACACTATGGCATTGGACACTACAGGTGCTGGTTTCAACCGTGTCCACGGCGGGAAGCTCCACACAGCCCTGGCCGTCGAACGCGTTCCATGAGCTTACGGTATGGTCGGTACTTCCGAGAACAGATACAGGCCAATAACCGCCGCCCCCGCCGGTAATCCTACCCGGCGTGTCTCCTTCCTCCCATTTTCGATAAACTATAGATCCCGCAGGGATATAAAGCGTACATGCCTTCGGACGACACCAGAGATACACGTGAGGATCTGCGCGAGCACGGTTCGGACAGCAACGGGTCGCCGGGGGACGTCGAAGTTCCAGAACCGGATATGGCCGAAGAGGAGGAGGACCAATGTCAACTCGGCGACGGCCGTACGTAAGTCCCTCCCACGCCCGTCCATGACCCGGGACCAGCGTCTATGTCAACTGGTTTGGTCTTGTTGAACAACACCCACCGGGTCGGGCGCAAACGGATAGTTGACCCAGATTACGAAACGATTAACGAGCGCGAGCACGCAGCGCCGATGATGCCCGCCATCGAGAGACGCGTGTGTAACCAATGTGCCGGCCGCGGTGTTGCGCCCAGGAAGCACTCGCACAATCACCCGGTTGCAACGCTCATTGCGCACCGAGGAAACCGACGCGCTGATTTTCCGCGCACGCAAACGGACAGGTGAGCTGCAACGGATCGTTGACCAGGGCGTCCGTCGTCCGTGATTTCGACCATTGGCGGTTCCAGCACGCCGACATAACGTCTTCGCCGCCGGCGGGGGTGTGGGAAACTGACACTCCGGTTCGGTTGAAGCCGCAACGGTTGTTTCCCAAACCGGGCGATCGTACGAACGCGGGCTGGGATGACACGGGTTCACCAGCCGGAGCGACGGGGAACCCGCTCGATGCTGGAACAGAAGGAGGAGCTTCGTCTTCGTGCTCCCGGTTGGGAGCCGTGAAAGGCGCTACTTCGGAGCTTCCGAGTAGGTCTCCGCCGGCGCCGGTTCCGGGGCTGGCGTGAAAACCTGCGGGAAAATGTCGCGAATGCTAGGCATGGGTTACTACGATCCCATCAGATGTCTTGAGGGCCAGCCAATTTTCCTTGGGTCAATTTGATACCCCGGCCAAAGAGAAGATGCCCAGCTCGTGAGGAGGACGTGCCATCCGCCATGGGATCCAAAAGACTCTCGCGGTGGCCCCATATCGGTTGGCGTGCATGGAGGGGTCATGAATTGTGGCCACGGTCACCGTCGACTGTTCAGCGGAAAATTCATGGCTAACGTGGAACGGCTCCCATGGGCTGTTCTCGCATCTCTCCGTTGACCTCGCCAAACTTGGTCAAGTTGACCATGACAGCCATGGTCCAACACGCCGGGCCGCTGTTCAAATACATTAATGAAGATCAACCGGAGCGCCCGCCCGATGGTGGAATTGGCTCGATTCCCTGGGCTGAACAGGTTGTCGGTGCAGTTCAACTCGATCTCGCGGCGGATGGGACCGTTGATCGCAACGGGCAGGCCGCTGGAATTGGTCACCGCTGACACTTCGTGGATGCAATTTGGGTCATGCTCAAATAGGACACGCAGCGTGGCCAGTACTATGGGGAAATACGACGGCAAACAACCCGCCATCACGGCGTTGGCCGCCGCTTGCTCAGCCGTCAGCGTCCGGCGGCGCACCGGGACTTCACCCAAAACGTGTTGGGGCTCAAGGTGGGCTGCTTCAAGCATCGCCTGGACGCGATCAGCGGTCGGAGGCACGACCGGCAGACCGTCTGTCCAGCCTCGCCGGTAGCATTCTTCAATAGCGTCCAGAGGATCAGGGATCGCGTGTAAAGCCGCGCGCGGCGCCGGTTCGACCATTACCATCCTGCCTGCCAGTCCGCTTGGTGCGCGGACCGCTTGCTTTCGATCATTCTAACAACGGCTAGTCACTATCTCAACTTAGCGCAGGCGCGTCTCGCTTCATTGTGCAGGTAGCTGGATTCCAATTTACGCCGGATGGCCAATGTACTCGGGCGTTGGACCCGTCGGCCAGCAGGACGGATGACGGGGGTTGAGACATGACATCCCCGAACTGGCGACCATACAAGGTACGGGCATCGCACTCCAACTTATGGTTGACAACCGGCGCCAGTGCCCACGCGTCTCTCGAGATTCGGTACGTTCGAGTACGCCCAGCGGATTGGCCGTTGTATCCGTAGTACCGAGCAGTGAGGAATTCTTCCAACGATCCGGCTTTCGCCGGGTAGGGGTCGCCATTGGCGGTGACCCAAATGCCATCCTCCCTACCACCGTTTCGCCACCCATAGTGGACTCTTTGTAGGCCGCATCCATCCACACGTTCTTCCGGGTCAAATTCGTGGCGCATTGCCGTAGACGACATGGGTTCTCGGAACAGATAACGGCCTCCCAGCGAGATCAATGGATGCGCAACCAATTGCCGCAAGAAGACGACACCCCGTCGGTGGTCACCTCCGCGCGTCCCGCGAACGTAGAAACGGAGGTTCACTTCCTCAAATCGCCGTGGCAGGGCCGGCAACCCCAGTACACCCAAGCCATCGACTAATAGCGCCACGAGACTGATGTAAGCGCTGCCGTTCCAATAATCGAGGACCACGCCACCGGGCAAAAAGGGGATCAAATGATGGTCGTCAATAGGCCAGGAGAAAATGGCCACATTCCGCCAGCGGGCGGTTATTGGGGTAGGGCACCACATCCGATCGTAGGATACTGCGCGTCTGATCTGGCCGGCGGGAAACTCGCAATCCACGCCGGCGAGCTACTGACTAGGTCAGACCTTCGAGGCGTCGTTCCAACCGCCGTTGCTGAAGGGAAATAGTCAGATCGCCGCGAGTACGCTCCAACACCCCCCGCATTGCGTCAGTGCTGTGACGGAGACCGCCAGTGACGCCTTCCGGGAAATCAACCGTAACCAGGATGCCGTAAATCTCGTCCATCAGTTCCATCAACTCTTCACAACGGGAGGTTTCGTCACGGCGCAGGGCATCCAGGATGTAGCGGCGTAATTCACCGATCACCTCTGCCATCCCGTTCAGGTAAGCCGGCGGGTCCATGTCGAGCGCTTCTGCGTCGGGGATATCGGCACCGGAAATCACCGCCAACGTTATGTTCGCCTCCGTAAATCCTTGCGCGCGTCGGAGAGAAAGCCGGCGTAGTAAATCTCCGGGTTGTCGACACGTATGCTGCGGGTCTCGGCGAGACGCGATCCCGCCTCCGCGATCAGACGCCGGGCCTCGTCGAAATCGTTCCGGTGAACTGCTCGAATCGCGTTGGCGGAGTTCCGGATAACCTGCCTGGAAACCCCGAGGGCCTGCTCCCGGGCTCGATGCCGGGCCGACAATTCTTCCACGGCCTGAGCGGACAGGGCCGCCAGTTGCGGGCCGTAACGGGTTGGCATAACAGAAAGCCGCTAAACGCGTCCGCCAGCGTCGCGAATTGCCTCGGTCAGGGCGGCTGCAGCAGCTTCGGGTTCGGACGCGCTTCCAACCGCCGCGGTGACGCAGATAGCGTCGGCGCCGGCTTCCACCACTGGGGCGACATTCGCCGCCGTGATACCGCCGATAGCCACCAACGGCACCTGGGCAGCCGCACGCGCCTGCTTCAAACGCTCGGGGCCCTGCGGCGCGCGGGTGACCTGTTTGGTCGTCGTGGTGTACATCGCACCGAACGCGACGTGATCCGCGCCCATGTGTTGCGACTCGATGATCAAATCGATCTCACGGTTGGAGCGGCCCAACACTTGCCCCGGCGCCAGAACCTTTGCGAGCCTCAGCCACGGGCAAATCAGTCTGACCAACGTGCAATCCCACGTGATCGGGCCCGAGGGCGGCAGCCAGATCCGCATGATCGTTGATGATCAGCAGAGCATCGTTGGCGGCGACACAGGTCGCGCAGAGCCGCACCGAGGGGTAGTTGTTCTCCTTTGTCCCGTAACTTGTCACGCAACTGGAGAATACGGGCCCCACCGTTGATAGCAGCACGGGCGATTTCGAGTGGATCACGGCCACCGGTCACTTCCGGGTCTATTATTACGTAGAGACCACGAATGCGATCCGCCTGAGACCGCCTCAGAGCGGCGCCGATCCGCTCGATGGCGTCGTCAAGGGCGCGACGCAACTGCAACGCCCCATCGGCGGGGATTCCCTGCGCGACCGCCAGGATATCCATCAAACCCCGCGCGGTTTCCGCCATCTCCAGCACTCGGAATCGATTCTGGATCGCGTATGGAGCAGTGGACTGCCGGTTTGGGTCACTCAGGTCACCGCCCAACCATCCGATTTCGCCGCGCATCAGGCCTTCAGGAATAGCGTCAGACGCCACCATGCCGTCTAGGCAAGCGACGAGCGCCGACAACAGATCGGGCGTCGGACTACGATCCTGCTCCGTCACAAGTCCAATCCTTTGGGTGCTTCTCCGCTCCGAGCGGAGTCTATCGATTCACGGACGGTGTCGGGCATTTCCACTCCGTGACGCGTGAATGATTCTTCAACGTGTCGGCCAATGTTCCTGGGGTCACTGTAGTAGTCCCGGGAACTGCTCCCAATCGGGCTCGCTTCGTGCAGATTGCCAGTGGTTTTGCCCATCGCAAAAGTCGACATCCGGCGCTCCACGTCATCGCTGCCGCAAGCGTCGCAAACGGGCGCCACCGGTGAGTTCATAGAGCGCACAAAGATCGCGGAGATCGTCCGGCACTGGCCACAACGGTATTCGTAGATAGGCATCTTGTCCGTCGCTAACTTACTTGGGAGATCTGAAACGCGTTGCGGTGGGGGAACAATGGGCGCTCAGCTGTCGGGATGAGTGATTTCGTGCCGGTGTTCCTGGAAATCCGGGGTAACCTGCCCGCCCATCGCGTCGCCCATGCGGCCCATGTGTCCGTCGATGCTGCCGATGTGGCTGTCGTCCAGGTCTGCCGCGGCGTTGTCGGGCATCCAGTTGAGGCTATCGCCCCAGGAGCGGTGAAAGGCGAACCCCGACACCAACCGGGTAAGGTCGGATGCGTTGCATCCGTTGCAGGTCATAGCGTCAACGGTTGTCCAACTGAACACCAGACGGGACTGCCTGATGCTGCACTGGTTGCATCGGTATTCGTAAACGGGCATGACGCGGGTATTGTAGCATAGGCCCGGAACGTTCTCGGGCAGTCGCTGATGTATAATGCGGCGACAGTCGGTAGCAGCACGGCAACCGCCGGATTCGCGCACGGAGAATGCTGATGTCCAGCGCCAACCAGATGTCGATGCAGATGACCTTTTCAGCCGGTGACGAAAAGTCTCCGTTGCTGCTGCTGATCGACGGACACGCAATGGTCCACCGTTCTTTCAGGCAATCAGCGCCAGCCGCAATTTGACGGTGTCCTCCACTGGCGAGGATGTCACGGGCGTCTACGGGTTTGCCAGCGTTTTCATGCGGGCGCTAAACGAATGGCAACCAAGCCACGTCGCCGTCGCTTTCGACACACCGTCTCCAACCTTCCGCCACGAACGCTTCCCGGCATACAAGGCGCAACGGCCGCCCACGCCTCTGGAACTGCGGGGTCAGTTCGACCGCGTGAAAGAGTTGATGGCAACGTTCTCCGTGCCGATTTACGAATTGCCCGGCTACGAGGCCGACGACGTCATTGGCACGCTTTGCCGGCAAGCCGAGGCCGCGCATGTGCCCACGGTGATTCTCACCGGAGACCGCGACACTTTCCAGCTTATTTCCCCGCTGATTCGCGTGGACCTGGCCAGCAGCGAGCGCGACCGGCGGATCGTGGACGAGGAGGAATTGGCCGCCAGGTACGGCGGGCTTACGGCAGAACAACAGCCGGATTACAAAGCGCTGGTTGGCGACAAATCGGACAATATACCCGGAATTCCCGGCGTTGGGGACAAGACGGCGACAACCCTGCTGACCAACTACAGCACGCTGGAAGGCATATACGAGAATCTGGAACAGATCACTCAGAAGAGGGTGCAGAACAACCTGGCGACCAACCGGGACGAGGCGTTTGAATATCGTTTTCTGACCACGATCAAGTGCGATTCGCCGACTACGCTCGATCTCGACGCCTGCAAGTTCGGCGACTACGAACGTTCCGACGTGGTCGCCCTGATGACGGCCCTGGAATTCCACAGCATAGTGGGACGAGTGCCTTCACCTGATGCGCCGTGGGCTACAGCTTCGGATAGCGCCGGTCACGCTCCCGTCCCGGCGGCCGCCGCGTCGGACGTGGCGATGGACTACGATTACCGCGTCGTCGACACGCCGCCAGACTTGGACGCGATGATCGCCGCCATCCGGGACGCTGGCTCCTTTGCGTTCGACACCGAGGCCAGCGGGACTGACCCAATGTCGGCCGAGTTGGCCGGATTGAGTTTTTCCATCGAAGGCGGCCAGTCGTGGTACGTACCGGTAGGGCACAAGTCGGGACAACAATTGCCCTTGGACGAGGTGATGGCCGCGGTGCGACCCTTGTTTACCGGTGAAGGTCTAAAGCGCGCGGCCCACAACGCCAACTATGATCTGACGCTGCTAAGCAACTATGGAGTGGACCCATACCAGGTTGTTGACCACGACACCATGATTGCAGCTCACCTCCTGGGCAACGGCCGGGTGGGCCTGAAACCCCTGGCCCTTTCAATACTCGGTCGGGAAATGACCGAGATCACCGAACTTATCGGGAAGGGAGCCCGCCAGATAACCTTCAACGAGGTTGAGATCACCGATGGCGCACCGTACGCTGCGGCGGACGCGGACTGCACGCTGCGCTTGCGTCGGCACTTTGACCCGCCATTGGCAGCACAAGGCCTAGTCGACCTGTTTGCGGATGTCGAACTGCCGCTGGTGCCGGTGTTGGTCGAGATGCAGCGCGCAGGAGTCCGGTTGGACGCGGGCATCCTCCACGAGATGTCGCGCGACCTGCACGAACAACTGGAACAGATCCAAGCGGAACTTTTCAACTCTATCGGCCACAGCGTCAACATCAATTCGCCCAAGCAGTTGAGCGATCTGCTTTTCGGAGAGTTGGGTTTGCCGAAGTCACGGCGTACCCGGTCGGGTTTTTCCACCGATGCCAACGCCCTGGAGGCGTTGAAAGGTTTGCATCCGGCGGTGGACAAGATCCTGGACTACCGGCAAGTTTCCAAGCTGAAGTCAACCTACGTCGACGCGCTACCGGAGATGGTGAACTCGGTCACCGGCCGGATCCATACGTCGTATCACCAAACCGGGTCGGCCACCGGCAGGGTCAGCAGCAGCGATCCCAACCTGCAAAACATACCAGTCCGAACTGAATTGGGCCGCCAAGTCCGCCGCGCATTTGTGGCCGACTCCGGATGCCAGCTGCTTTCAGCGGACTATTCTCAGATTGAGCTGAGGGTGCTGGCTCATATGTCGCAGGACCCTTCGCTACTGGAAGCGTTCCGGAGAGGAGAGGACATTCACGCCGCGACCGCGAGCCAGATGTTCAGCGTGGCCATCAATGACGTGGACGCGGAGCAGCGCCGGATCGCCAAGGTGCTTAATTTCGGCGTGATCTACGGCTTGGGACCATACGGGATATCGCAACAGACGGGGTTCAGTCGCGAGGAGGGACGCCATTTCATCGATACCTATCTTTCACGGTACCCGGGCATCAATGGTTACCTGGAGTCCGTGAAGGAGCGGACCAGGAACGTGATGTACGCGGAAACCCTGCTGGGAAGGCGCCGGTACCTGCCGGATATACAATCCACAAATCACAACACTCGCGCGGCTGCTGAGCGGATGGCGATAAACATGCCGATCCAGGGGACGGCTGCGGACATCATGAAGATAGCCATGATCAACGTGCGCGCCCGGATGATCAAGGAGCAAATGCGCTCCAGCATGATATTGCAGGTCCACGACGAGTTGGTGTTTGAAGTACCGGATGATGAAATGGACGTGATGACCGAGCTGGTGACGGACGAGATGCCGGCGGCAATGGATCTCGACGTCACGCTCAGGGTGGATGTGAAATCCGGCTACTCCTGGGGCGACTTCTGATTCGAAACACCGCGCTTTGGCTGTTATCGTGTTGAGCGGCGTGACAATCCATGTCGGGCAACTTCCGATGCGCTCTCTTTTGACAATGAATCCGATGACAATGAATCCGACACCACACCCCGCAGAGGTCAATACCAGTGCAGTTGCTTCGTAGCATTGTCTTTGTTCCCGGAAACCGCGCCAACATGCTGGAGAGGGCGTTGGGATTCAGCGCCGACATCATCATGGTGGACCTCGAGGACTCGGTGCCCTTGGGCGAGAAGGCCGCGGCGTGCGAGTTGGCAACCGAATGGGTCCCGCGCTTGGCGGAAGCCGGCAAACAAGTGATGGTGAGAGTCAACGCCCTGGAAACCGGCTTGGCGGCTGGGGAACTGTCAGCGGTGGTATCGGCCGATTTGAGCGGCATCAGCATCGGGAAAGGGAACACTCCCTGGGATGTGCAGCAGGTGGACAAACTGCTCGCGCCTTTGGAATCTAGGATCGGGATAGAAACGGGCAACATCAAGGTGATCCCGTGGATCGAAACTGCTATGTCCATCGTCCATGTCTACGAGATGGCGCGGGCGTCGCAACGGACCGTCGGGATAGCATTCGGAGCCGAGGACTACACGAACGATATGGGGATCATAAGAAGCGACTTCGGCGAAGAGTGTTATTTCGCTCGGTCAACGGTTGCCGTGGCGGCGCGGGCTGCCGGCGTTGCCGGCCTGGACGGCCCGTTCGTGGGTTTTCGGGATCCCGAAGGTCTGAAAACCGACGCCGGCGCAGCGCGCCGGATGGGGTATACCGGCAAGTTCGCAATTCATCCGGCACAGATAGACGCGATCAACGAGACGTTTTCTCCCAACCCCGAAGACGTGGCATACGCGAAGCGTGTGGTAGAGGCGTGGGATGAAGCGGAAGCGGCCGGAAGAGGCTCGTTATCCATTGACGGGCGCATGGTAGATGTGCCGGTCGTGAAACGAGCACAAAATCTGCTGGCCCAAGCGGCGGCAATCGAAGCGCAGACCAATTAATGACCCACATGACGGACACCGCACAACCGGGATAGATCTCATTGGTGACCTGAACACCAGGTTGTGTCATCCGCCGGCGCCCGTCGGACCCGTTGCCCGGCAAAACACGAAACCGCTGCACAGGTACGAGTTGTGCCCAACCGTCAGTCGTATGTTCCCTGATCGCATCATCCTTACTGGGTTGCAGTTCTACGGCTTTCACGGGGTCAACCCCGAAGAACGGAGCTTAGGACAACATTTCATAGTGGACCTCGAAGCCGAGCTTGACCTGAGGATCCCAGCCGCCACGGATCGTCTGGAAGATACGGTGAGTTATACCGAACTGTATCGGGCAGTCAAAACGGTGATGGAAGGGGAACCGTGCAATCTGTTGGAATCCGCCGCCGGAAACATAGCCCGGAACGTTTTGGACCAGCACCTGGAAATCGGGGCGGTTCGAGTCCGAGTTCACAAACCCCGCCCACCGATAAAGGGGTCTGTCATAGAGGCCGCTGCGGTGGAAATCTACCGGTCGCGCCAGGCCTGAACAGCCCGACAGCGACACGAGGACCGAACGACATGGTTACCAATCAGACAGCCAACGACGCCGGCGTGGCCGGCGCGTTCAATGATGCGACTAAGCTCCAGTACATCAACCTCAGCAACAAGCCGCCTTTGTATAAGATCTACCCTGACCTGCGATCCATACCGCTGCCGGATGTGGCCGGCTCATCCGGACCAGAGATGTCGACGTTGCAGGCCATCCGTGGCTCCGAACCAAACTCCGAAGGGGGAAGCACGCCAACGGTGCAGACCCTGGCGGAGTTGCTCTATCACGCAGCCGCGGTGATTCGGCGTCGGAATCTGCGGGACGGTGAGGTGCACTATCGGGGAGCAGCGTCTGCCGGGGCACTCTACCCAACCGAAGTCTACGTGGTTTGCGGTGACCTGGACGGTCTGAGGGCCGGGGTATACCACTTCAACCCGCTCGATTGTACTCTGGCGCGCTTGCGAAACGGCGACCTGCGGCGCTGGGTGGGTGCAGCTTCCCAAGACCATGCCGCATACCCGGCGACCTTGGTGTTCACGACGGTGTTCTGGCGAAGCGCCTGGAAATATCGGGAAAGGGGTTACCGATATTGCTACTGGGACCTGGGTACGATTGCCGCCAATCTCACCGCAGCGGGGAACGCCGCGTCTACTCCAGTGGGTTTGAAATTTGGATTCGTGGACCGTTCGCTATGCGGGTTCTTGGGGATTGATGGGCTTGACGAAGCTCCATCCCTCTTGGCCACCATCGGCAACCCGGACGGTACGCTGAACCCGGGTTCAGGTGACGTTCCGGGCATGTTGCCCCAGGAAAGCAACGACCTTACGGCCGGCGCCCTGGAATACCCCCTGTCGCGAGAAATTCACCTCGGTTCCTGGCTGCGGACGAGGGAAGACGTATCAATCTGGAATGAAAATGGTGTGAAGAGCGACGATAACCAAAAAGAAGAACTGGACGGCACTGGCGAGCGTTTCCGGCCCTTGCGTTCGGGATCGGACGGAGCCTTTGACGCCGCGGTGGACCTTTCGTCTCACCCGGCACAATCGTTGGGCGATTGCATCCGTTCGCGAGGCTCGACCAGGCGTTTCGCAACGGAACCGATTCCTTGGGAGGGTTTCCGCTCGATCCTGGAAGCGGCAGGGAGCCCGATCGGCGCGCCGCAGTTAGCGGGTGGGTTTTCGCCGTACATGAGCATTTATTTTATTGTAAACGCCGTGGACGGCCTTGCCCCTGGAGCCTACTACTACAATCGTTTCTACAACGGCTTGCGGTTACTCAAGGAGGGAGACCTCAGAGAAACCGCGGGACATTTGGGTTTTGAACAGGCATTGCCGGCAGACGCCGCTGCCGTAGCGTTCATCACCGCCGACTTGCAGTTGATCGAACGCGATTTCGGGACCAGGGGATACCGAATGGCGCAGACGCTCGCGGGAATCATCGGCGGACGTATATACCTCGCTTCGCATGCGCTGGGTTTGGGGGCCACGGGCCTCACGTTTTTCGACGACGCGGTCGTCGAGTTTTTTGAGCCTCACGCCGCTGGCCAAGAAACGGTATTCGTGGTGCCGATGGGCATTCCACACCAGGACAACCGGGTCCGCCCGTTCCGGTCCAGGCTGGCCGTCAGCCTAGACGCCCGGGCCCGGGGTGCGGGACAGGGATGACCGTACCAAGCCCAAGGTAAGTCAGCTAGTCCCACTCCTCTTCGTCTGCTGAGGGCGGGGTTGCGGGCGACCAGGCGGTCACATCTTCGTCGGTGTCCAAAGTTGGAACATCGTCCATGCCCACCGATTCTACGGAAGTGTCGTCGTGCATGTTCAAGACTGCGTTCTCGACGGAATCTGAGATGTCATCGGCGTCAATTGCGTCCGAGGGAACTTGGTCTGATTCCTCGTCCGGTGAGGGCACGATTTGGTCAGGCTCCGCTATTGGACTTAGTTGGTGTGACTCGCTGGTTTGCGACGGGAAGGAGACGACATGACGCAAAGCGGGAGCCTGACCCGTTTCGCGCAAAATGACTGACAATCCGGCCTCTTCCAGCCCGACTACGGCTGCTTCGTACCGGTTGCCTCCGGACATAAGGCGGTTCAAGCGTCGGCCCAATCGACGTTGCAACGTCCCCAAGTAAGCGCCGTCCAAGGTATTGACGGTTACGCCGTCATCCTTTGCGGTCAACAAAACCACGTCACCCGCGCTGACAGGGAGGGTGTCCGACAGACCGGTCTGTTTGCACAGAGTAGTGGAACACGACTTTCCACTCTCAGCGATGAACATGCGAGGCGATCTGCCGGTTACCGCGGGTAGTGACGACGCCTCTTCGGAGCGATTTTGGAGCCGATCAAGTCGCGCGAGATTTTTCCGCCCGATGACATTCGCGGGTGAGTGCAGGCGCAACTCTTCGAGGGTGCGGCGGGCCTCGGAATAGTTGCCCAGTTCCATCTGGGCTTTGGCCAAGCGATTGGACGCCTCACAGTCAGTTGGACTTATATCCAGGATCTGCTGGTTTGCCGCTACCGCTTGTTCCCATTGGCCGTTGAGCGCAAACCGGATCGCCTCTTTGCCAAGTTGGGCTTTGGTGTGGCTGCTCATCGAATCCTTCATCGGTGCATGGCTTGGCGGGTAAGACACGTCATCCACTGATATTGACCTCCACCACCGGTCGGCTGCCCTTCCTTATCACTAACGATGTCTCGTTATAGGATTACACCCTGGTGGGGGGTACTTTCAATCTACCTAGATTGCCGATTTCGATGAATTATGGTCTTCGATTATCGACCATATGAGCCAGCTGGCCCCGAGGTTCAATTTCAACGCTTGTAGCGGCCGGTGGCTGACCGATACCGGATGATTACGAGGTCGCGCAAGGTGTTCCATCCATCGCGAATCGGACGAACCTTGCTCTCCGACCGGTAGTGCCAGTCGATCCCGACCTCGACGATCCCAAACCCTCGTCGGCGAGCCAGGAACAGGATTTCAGCATCGAACGCAAACCCGTCCAGCGTCTGTAGTTCGAAGAGGGTTTCGGCGGCGGTGTCGGGGAATACCTTGAACCCACACTGCGTGTCGGAGATACCGGGCGTAGCCAGTATCCTGGTCACGGCATTGAAAACCCGCCCCATCAGCCATCTTCGTCGAGGTTCACCAATGCGAATGGCTCCGGGTGCCTCTCTTGAGCCGATTACGATATCCAACGACGCGGCGTGTTCCTGCGAGGGGGTGGGTTCCGGCAACAGACGTTCTAACAGGCGTATCGGCATCGACAGATCGGCGTCGCAGAGGAAACGATATTCGCCGCTCGCTGCGAGCATCCCGTTCTTAACGGCCCACCCCTTGCCCCGGTGGGGCAGAGCAAGCAGCTTAACGCGCTCGTCCTCTCGTGCCGCCCGATCAACCACGTCAGACGTGGAGTCGTTGCTCCCGTCGTCGGCTACTATGATCTCCCACTCAAATGGCTTCCCGCGCAAATATGCGGAGACCGTCTCAAGCGTCTCGGGAAGGCGGCGCTCCTCGTTGTAGGCCGGAATGATTACAGACAGGTAGCAAGCGGACATTGCCGTCCGGTCGAGGTCCACCTAACGGGACTTGTCCAGTTCGAAACCCTGGTGCAGCAAGCGAACGGCCTCCTGCGCCTGATCGCGACTGATAATGCACGATATACGAATTTCAGACGTGGTGATCATGTCGATATTGATGCCGCCGTCGGCCAGGATACGAAACATGCGGGACGCGTAACCGGGCGTGTTCTGCATTCCCGATCCGACCACGCTGACTGAGGCCAGTGTTGGGTCACTGATGACCTGGCCCATTCCCAGCGCCGTTTCCAGAGGAGCAATGACGCGGAGCGCGCGCGGCAAATCATCGGTGGTGACGGTAAAACTGATGTCCGTCGTGGTTCGGTCGGCGCTGGTGTTCTGGACGATGGTATCCACGTTGATGCCGGCTTCCGAAAGCGGTTCAAACAGTCCTGCCGCAACACCGGGCCTATCGGCAACCCCGCACACGGTGACCTTGGCGACATTGGATTGGTAAGCGATGCCAGTAACCTTGATCCGGTCTTCCATCTGCCTGTCGTCCGATACTTGCCGTATGAGAGTTCCGGTTGCGTCGACGAAACTGGACGCCACGTATATGGGAACATTGTAGGCCGCTCCCAACTCAATTGACCTAGGGTGCATTTTCGCACCCGCCGCGGCCAGTTCCAACATCTCTTCATAGCCGACTTCGGGCATTTTGGAAGCGTTGGCGACAACCCGAGGATCAGCAGTATAGATTCCCTCGACGTCGGTATAGATGTCGCAGCGGTCAGCACCCAGCGCCGCCGCCAACGCCACGGCCGTGGTGTCGGAACCGCCTCGGCCCAGCGTGGTAACGTCGTCATCGGGCGTGAGACCCTGGAATCCGGCTACGATCACCAGCCGGCCGGCATCCAGTTCGCGGCTAATCCGATCCGGGTCCACTTGACTGATGCGAGCCCGGCCATACGAGTTGTCAGTTCTGATTCCCGCCTGGGGTCCGCTCAAGCTGATGGCGTCGTAACCCAGACTACGCAGTGCCATGGACAGCAAGGTGATCGATACGAGCTCGCCTGTAGACAGAAGGAAATCGAGTTCCCGGGGATCAGGCTCGTTCGAAACGGTGCGCGCCAGATCGATCAGTTCGTCGGTGGTGCCGCCCATGGCCGAAACCACGGTTACGATCTGATGACCCTGGTCATGCACTGCGGCGATACGCCGCGCCACGTTTACTATCTTGTCAGCATCGGCGACGGAACTGCCGCCGTACTTATGCACGTAGAGGGCCATATGATCTGCTCGGTCGGTTGCCGAATCCGGTATATCAAGAACCGGGGGCGAAGGTCGCGGGTTAGGCGGCGTCCTGCGATTCATTTCCGGGCACGTCAATGAAATGTGCCCCGAGGTCAGTCGGCTGGGTGACTTCCACGCGCCCGTCGACGCCGGCGAGCCGGGCGGCGTCGAACATTTCATAGGCGACCGTCATCGCACGATCGCGCGTCAAGGCCAAAATGGTGCTACCACTCCCGGAGAGGAAAACCCCCAAGGCGCCGGCAGCTTGGGCAGCAGCAAAAATGACCTTCATTTGCGGGAAAATAGTCTGCCGATAGGGCTGGTGGAGACGATCCTGGGTGGCGATGTTCAGGTATTCGGGACGATCGGACTCCATACTCGCCACAAGCAACGCGGTGCGGCTCATATTGTACACCGCGTCGGCGATGGGTATTTGATCCGGCAAAACCCGCCGAGCATCCGCGGTAGCAATTCGCCGTTCCGGGATGAACAGGACGGCCTGCATGTCCGCCGGAACCCGGATAGGAGCGGTGTACAGGCGGTCGTCGTTCATCACCACCAGCCTCATGCCGCCATGGATCGCGGCAGCAACATTATCGGGATGGCCTTCGATGGTCGCGGCCATTTCCAGCAGATCGTCCTGGCTGAACACATTGTCAAGGAGCCAATTGGCTGCCACGAGGCCGCCGGAAATGGCCGCCGCACTGCTGCCCATGCCACGGCTCAGCGGAATCGAGTTATTGCAGCGAAGTGACAACGGGGGGAGAGGAACGTCGGCTTCGTTGAACAAAAATTCCATGGCGCGGTAGGTCAGGTTTTGGGCGTCCGCCTCCAACTCACCGGCGCCTTCGCCCAAAACAACCACGGCGGGTTCGGAGCCGGCGGGGAGAACCTCCACGGTCAGCGTGTTCCACAAGTCCAGGGCCATGCCCAGGCAGTCGTAGCCAGGACCGAGATTAGCGGTCGTGGCCGGAGCCCGTACCTCCACCGTAGTCACAGGTTCCTCCATGAGATCGTCGCTTCGGTTAACCAAGCACGCGTTCGGATACGTAGCGCCCCAAGTCCCGGTTTTCCCGAAACTCGAACCCGCCAAAATCGCCACCGTAGCCAATAATCGGCACCTGCCGTTCGTGAGAGGACCCGTGAGACCGCAATCCGGGCGGCAGAGCAACCTCGGATGGGTCCCCGAACACTACGTCTGCGGACCCGGTGACAACGATGTCCCCGATGCGCTCTTCCATCAGGGAAAAACGTTCGGCCGCTTCGGTTCGGGGCAGGGCCTCCTCGATGCCGTCGGTTTCCCGGAGTAATCCTAAAGCGTCGGATAGAGCGGTTGGATCCTCCAAATGGAGATAGATGCACCCTCCGAGGTTGGAATGGTGCACCACGTAGTGATCCTTAATGATCGGAATTGCCCGAGCTTTGATGCCTCGCTTCGCGAGCACCGCCGGCAGGTGCAGCATGCGTCGTTTGTCGGACATCCCGTGATCCGCCGTGATAAGGAGCTGTATGTCGGGGATGTCGGCCACCAACTGTCCCAGCGCTTCATCCAGGATAGTTATATGCCGGCGCGATTCTGGGTGGTCCGGCCCGTACGTGTGCATCGCGTAATCGGTGCTGGCGATGAACGCAAGATCGTAATGTTGCGCGTTCAATGCAGAACGGGCGGCGTTGATGGTCCAGGCGTTGACCTCCAACGAATACACGTCGGGCGGGTTTCCGGCGGCGGCCACCGCTTGGGTGGTTGGGCTTTCCGACGAGAATGCCAGATCCGTGTCGTCGCCCAACAGGCGCCTCAGCTTGTCCTTGGAGGCCGCGAGCAATGACCTGCCGCCTTGCCGCCGACACTGGGCGAAGATGGTTTCGGAACAGATGAACTCGCCTGACTCCACGTACTCTTCGATCCCAGCCTGCCGGTCCAGCCAATAGTTGGAGACTATTCCATGTTGGGCGGGATAGTGCCCGGTTACCATGGTGGTGTTGTTGACGTTCGTGACGCTGGGCATCATGCCGCCACCGGATACGTGGAACCCGTCGCTGGCGAACCGTTGAAGATTGGGCGCCGGGCAAGTGGCCAGGTATTCCGGGTCCAGACCGTCGATCATTACGAGTACCGTGGTGCGTGTCATGGTGTTTCGTTCCAGAGTGAGCGCCAAAGAGCGCTGACGGGATCGATCGAGATATCAAGCAATAGTTCCGGCTTGATGAGCCGCTTGCATGTAATCATACAGCAGGCGCGGCAAGAGGAAATTGTCACGGACGCGGTCTTTCGCGTTACGGCCGATATAAGCGTACATATCGGGATCGCCGAGGAGTTGTGCTATGCGCTCTCCAGCCTGCTCGGGAGAATCCACCAGGAATCCGGACACCTCATCCTCAATCTGAAGGCGGATCCCGCCGACGTTGCCGCCGATCACGGGTTTGCCTTTCCACATCCCTTCGGAAACGGTCAGGCCAAAGCCTTCCCGGGTGGACTTTTGCAACAACACATCCGAATGACTTTGCAGAGCGTTGACAATTTCGTCGTTGCTCGCGGGCAGGCCAGCCGGGTTAAAGAACAGGTGGATGTCCGGGTCGCGGCCGGCGTACTCGCGTACGGATCGCAGCACGTCGGCGCCCTTCCGGATCGTCGTTGGCCTGGCTCAACCCAAGCAACGCCAACTGCAGACCAGGGTGGGAGCCGCGGGCCAGACGGTAAGCGTCCACGACACCCCAAGGGTCTTTCCAAACGTCGAAGCGCGAAACCTGCGTCACCAAAGGTCGAGCCGAATCTATCCCCAGGGCCGCAACAATCTCACGGGCTCGTTCACCAGGCATGGCAGCATTCTTGCAAGTGAGAGGATCGATAGCCGGCGGAGCGATGTGAATTCCCACATTGGACGGCAAAGCGCTGGGCACGTATTGCCCCAAGGAGCATATCAACGTGTCGTACGCGGCGGTCAGCGGGAGGAGTTCGTCCAACAGCCAAGGGTTAGGATGCGTCAGGTCGATGTGGACTGTCCAAATTCGGGTGGCGCCCTGGCACTGTTTGATCAAGCGTCCCAGAGGCAGGAGTTGCGGATCGTGCAGGAACCAGACGTCAGCCGACAATCCGGTGCGTTCGATTTCACAAGCGACCTGATTTAAACAGCCGTAATAGATGTCGAGTTCGGCGGCGGAGAGTTCTCCGTCGGCTCCCTGGAGCATGTTGTGAATGCGCTTGGTTACGGTGAAGAACGCCGGGTCGTCGGGAACGATAACTGCCCGCTCGGTAGTGATCCCCAAGGCGTTGCTCAACGGTACCAAAGAGTGCAGGATTTCGGCCACGCCGCCTCCGTTAGCAGTGCTGTTCACGTGCAGCACGCGGGCGCCAGCAAAATCGTCAGCCAGCCTTGTAAGTTGGTCCGCCGCTTCCGGGGACATGAGATCCAAGTATCGGCGGGCGTCAGTTGACGGGTGTTCGATGATGTCGATCAATTGGTCAGACCTCGGGAGAGCTGTGGGGTTCTGTGGTGTGTGTCGGACAACGGTCGTTCAGCCGCGCTCCGGCAAGGGATGTGTGACGGGACGCGGCTCGGCCAAACCGGATTGCCAATTTATGGTAATTCCTGATCGTTGCGCTGTACATGTACACGCGGTGCAGGTTGGGACGCGTTTGCGCCGAAGCATGGGAACCCGGTTCCTGTTTCCATCGAACGGGAACGGAACCCTGGATCGATTGGGGGAGGGGCCGCTGACGGCAGGCAAGGGTGGCAGCAGATGCTCCCACAAGCGAAACGTAAGCGTCGGATTTCCGCCGAGGAAACCGAAACGCCGGCGGGGTGGCCGTGGATTATTCGACGGTGACAGACTTGGCCAGGTTCCGAGGTTGATCGACGTCACAACCCCGCCGCACGGCGATGTGGTAGGCAAACAACTGAAGGGGAACCGTGGCCAATAGGGGAGTCAGGTTTGGCGCGGTTTCCGGGATGAACACCGAGTGATCCACCAGGTCGGACAGCCGGTCGTCGCCTTGGGTAAGGACGGCCAAAACGTCTCCATCTCTGGCTTTCACTTCCTGGATGTTGTTCGCCATTTTATCGTACAGGCCGTCCTGAGGAGCGATGGCCAGGGTTGGCATGGCGTGATCGATCAGGGCGATCGGCCCGTGTTTCATTTCGCCGGCCGCGTAGGCTTCGGCGTGGATGTAGCTGATCTCTTTGAGTTTGAGCGCACCCTCAGTTGCGACCGGGGCGTTAATGCCCCGCCCCAGATAGAGGAAGTTATTGCGACCGTAGTAACTCCGCGCCAGCGGTTCCACATCATCAGCCGATTCGAGCAGTTGAGCCACGTTCCCGGGCAGCCTCGCCAGTCCCTCGACCAATTTCCGCGAAGCAGCAGACCCCAGGTGGCTCCGAGCCGTTCCCAACCGCATGGCCAGCAAATTCAGCAGCGTGAGCGATGACAAAAACGTCTTGGTGCTGGCGACGCCGATCTCGACCCCGCAACCCATCAACAGCGCGTGATCCGCGAGACGGGCAGCCTGGCTGTTCGGCGCGTTGCAGATCGTCACCAGCCGGGCGCCGCTTTGCCGCACCGTCTCCATGGCAGCCACGGTATCTGCGGTTTCACCGGATTGGCCAATCGCTACGACGAGCGTAGACGGATCCAGGAACGGTTCGCGGTAGCGGAATTCGGATGCCGATTCGGCCTCGGCGGGTATGCCGGCCAAACGTTCCACCAGATGGCGACCTACGTGAGCCGCGTTCAGGCTGGTGCCGCAGCCTATGAGCACTACCCGACTAACCCCGGCGAGCTCTCGATCAGTCAGAGTGAGGTCCGGCAGCGTTACCAAGCCCCGGCCAAAATCCACGCGGTCCCTGAGGGCGGCGGTTACCGCCTGGGGCTGCTCCATGATTTCCTTGAGCATGAAGTGCCGATAACCGCCCCGTTCCACCAGGACGTCATCCAAGTCAACGTTGAGCATCGGTTTTTCAACGCGTCGACCAGTTCGATCCAGGAAAGCGATTCCCTGCCGCGTGACAATCGCGACTTCACCGTCTTCCAAAAACCCGACCGGCAGGTGACCGCGCCGGCCGACGATGGGCAACAGAGCGGGCAGATCGCTGGACACGATGCCCTGCCCGTCGTGGTGAGCGACCGCCACACCTCCGGCGTTTCCGAGCTTCAAAGCGCATAGGCTGTCATCGTCGCCATCGTGCACCGCCACGATTGCCTGGGGGCCCTGAACGTGGCCGCTCAGTTGCAGCATCGCCGCCGGCAAACCAAGGCCATGGCTCATGGCATCTTCGATCAGGTGCGAAATGACCTCAGTGTCGGTCTCTGACTTGAAACTGTGGCCCTTGCTCCGCAAATCGGCTCTCAATTCCGCGTGATTCTCGACGATGCCATTGTGAGCGACGGCGATCTGGCCGGTGCAATCAGTGTGCGGATGCGCGTTCGCTTCGGAGGGGCGGCCGTGGGTGGCCCATCGGGTGTGGCCGAGACCGGCCGATCCGTTCGGGGCGGGACAATCCGCGTCGTGGAGCAGCCCCAACACCCGGCCCACGGTCTTACGCAGTTGCAATCCGGACTCCGGCCCCAACACCGCGACGCCGGCGCTATCGTATCCGCGGTATTCCAAACGGCGCAGACCCTCGACAACGATGGGCCAGGCGGGACGGTCGCCGACGTATCCGACGATGCCGCACATTTCTACAATCCCGGGATGTCAGTCTCCGTCGGCGTTCGCGCTACCGACGGTCATGGTTGCTTCGGGCACAAACGTATCGCCGAAGTCGTCGCAGTCGAATACCAACGGCGCTGGCAGGGGTTCCTTGCGCGCGCGATCCGAGGAGTCTACGAGGTCCATGATTGCCTGCGCCAAGGCGGCGGGACTATGACGAATGAACACGCCAGGCGCGAGCAACGGCCGCTCGACTATTCGCCCTACCATGGTCAAAGACGCCGAGTCATCAGCGGCAACCGGGTGCTGGCCCTCGGCGGCGTAGCGTTCCAGCAACCGCCGGGGAATCGGCGTGTTGTTGACCAGCAGGAAGTCCAAGGGCTGGCTCGTGCCCAGATATTCCATGAGGAGGGCCAGGAAGTCGGAGGATCGGAAACCGTCGCTCTCGTTGGGCTTGGTCATCAGATTGCAAACGTGGACCTTGATCGCATCCGAATCATTAATCGACTGAGCGACGTCCTCAACCAACAGGTTTGGCAGGACGCTGGTGTAAATGTCGCCCGGGCCCAATACGATGGCGTCCGCTTCCGCAATGGCGTCCAGGACCGGCGGGTAAACGTACGCTTTCGGATCGAGGTGAATGTAGTCGATGGCTACGTCGAGTTTCTCGTTCCTCAGGTCGATGGCGGATTCACCGATCAACTCGGAGCGATCGACTAGCCGGGCGCGCAAAGTCGACCGGGTGAGTGTGACGGGCAACACCGTGCCGCCAATACCAAGAATCCGGGCGGCTTCGTCGATGGCGGTGATCGTATCTCCCGTGACCTCGGTCAGGGCGGCCAAGAGCAGATTGCCGAAACTGTGGCCGTTCAGCCCGTCTCCGGTGGAGAACCGATAGTCAAACAACTGCCGCATCAGGTTGGATTCGGCGGAGTCGGAAGCCAGCGCCATCAAACAGCGGCGGAGGTCGCCGGGCGGCAGGTGACCCATCTCTTCACGGAGTCGGCCGCTGCTGCCACCACTGTCGGTCATCGCCACGATTGCGGTGACGTCGCATTCACGCGACCGCAAGCCAGTGAGGGTGGTATGGTTGCCGGTACCGCCGCCGACCACTACGATTTTTTTGTTGGTCATCAGCACACGGGCGGGACCCGACGAGGATTTAAAGGCATGAAGCCTGATCGCCGAGTATGGGCCCGTAGCAGTATATGGACGGCCAGTCGGCGCAGTCAACCACAGCGGTCAGTTCTCAGCACTGTACCGGCTTTCGAAATACGGAATTACGGTGTCGCCCATCTGTTCCACCACCCGCATTGCCATTCGGGCATCCATGCCCGGATACCAGATCCGAAACATGAAGTGATTTGCTCCCACGCGCTGGTGGTGGTCTTCGATCTGTTGGATCACCTCTTCGCCGCTGCCCAGGATGAATCGGTCTCGGGCCAATTCTTCAAAGGGGATACGGAAATCCTCGTCGCCGGGCAACGCTTTGTCCTGTCCCCAATCAGCGTAAGCCTGATACTTGGCTTCCATGTAAGGCTGGGCATTGCGGACAGCCTCTTCGTGGGTGGGCGCTATGTGCATTTCCTTGATAATGGGCATCTCGGGCGGCATTTCCTGGCCGCCGGCGGCCAGACCCTCTTTGTAGATAGCCGTCTGCCGTTCCAGCGTGGCCAGAGTGGCGTGCGGATTTACGAACCAGGGCAAACCAAGCTCGCCGGCCCGTCGGACCACGGTGTCGAAATTGGCGGCCACCCACATCGGCGGGTGCGGTTTTTGTACCGGCCTGATGGCGCAGGTTGCGTTGTCCAAATTGAAATGGCGGCCGTGGAACGTGACTTCGTCCTCGGTCCACAATCGGCGGACGAGTTCCAAGCTCTCGAGGAAACGTCCGACCCGATGCCGGCGTTCCACGTTGAATGCCTGGTATTCGATATCGCGGTATCCCAAACCCACGCCCAACACCACCCGACCATCACTGATAACGTCAAGGGTGGCAATGGTTTCCGCTACGTCTGCTGGTGAATACAAAGGCAGCAGCAATATGGACAAAACGAGCTGCATGTCGCCGGAATCCGCAGCCAATCTGGCCAATAGGGGGATGCTCTGGAGATTCTGGTACGGGGGCGAAAGGAAATGCTGACCGCAAGCAATCGAACTGAGCCCGGCGTCCCGAGCCAGCCGTGTCAACTCGACCGTTTCATGAAACCTCTGGGTTGCAGAATCGGTCGATGGGTGTTGGGGCATCGCCATAATGCCGAACTTCATAAAAATCACTCCGATGAAACTTGCGCTGGTCGATCTGGGATGGTCATCTGTCAGCCAGCAAGAGGTCATATTCCAGGGTTTTATTGTTGCCCATGCACTGCCACAGTGAAGCGCGCGTGTTCATTGCCAGGTAATCGGAAGCGGATCACAGCAAACTCGGCGTCTCGCAGCAGGATACTCGCGACCTTCCGAAACGTGACACGGGTATCCACATACATACGATGGCCTAGGAACGGGTCCGGAGCGGTAGATACCACGCTTGCGCGATCAGGTCGTTGCCAGTGGTGGTGACGCCTCAAGGATTATATCTGCGGGCATTAGTCACCGCAAACGGGCTGGTTTGGGTCAGCTTGAAACGACGTATTCGGGACAGGCCGGTCAGTTCACCGATTCAGTTCCATGGGATGGGGCACAGAGAAGACCGCCGTACGAGGGCAAGCTCCCGCAATGACGTTCGGTCCCGCGATCCCCGCCGACCCATTTACCACGATGTACAAGGCGGGTGTTGGCAATTACGGCGAAGCAATCGGGTCACTATCGATTAGTTGTGCCGGCTACACAGCGGCATGGCGTATGATGCTGGCAACAGATCACACTTGCTGCCGAAGGATCCGGGAGGTCTCAGTTGTACAAGATCGGGATAGACGTTGGAGGCACTTTCACTGACTTTGTTATTGCCGCTGAAGCCGAGCGGCCGCGATTCTTCAAGACGCAGACCACCCCTGATGACCCTTCGATTGGCGTGATGAACGGATTGCGGGAAGCCGCCTCCGAGCACGGGTTGTCCCTGGATCAGTTGCTGGGCGACACGGATCTGGTGATCCATGGATCGACGGTCGCGACCAACACGCTGGTGGAACGGAAAGGGGCCAAAGTCGGGCTGGTCACCACCGAGGGTTTCCGTGACCTGCTGGAGATGCGCGAGGGTCTGAAAGAGGACCGGTACAACCTACGGATGACACCGGTGGAACCCTTGGCAGCACGTTACCTGCGGGTGGGCGTACCGGAGCGCGTTCGGGCTAACGGATTGGTCGAACGCCCTTTGGATCAGACCGCGCTGGTGGATAACCTGGAGTACCTGGTTGGCGAGGGAGCCGAAGCGCTGGCGGTCTGTTTCCTGTTTTCCTACCTCAACCCTTCCCATGAAAAACAGGCTTGGGAAACTATACGTAACCGCTTTCCCGAGGTGTACACCTCTCTCTCCCACGAGGTGATCCCGCAGATCAAGGAGTTCGATCGCCTGAGCACAACCGTGATCAACTCCTACGTGGGTCCGGTGTTCAGTCGCTACCTTTCGCACTTGAAGGAACGGTTCGAGGCATATCCCCAGTTGAATGACGTCCTGATCATGCAGTCCAACGGCGGGGTGGCCCCGATAGAAGACTCTGGCCGCATGGCGGTACGGGCGATCCTGTCCGGACCCGCGGGAGGTGTCAGCGCCGCCGCCTACATTGGACAGCTGTTGGGAGAACCCAAGGTCATCGCGTTCGACATGGGCGGCACCAGCACCGACATTTCGCTAATCGAGGGCGGAGTTCCTCACATCACCAACGAGAAGTTCGAGGCCGGATGGAAGATCGCCGCGCCGATGATCGACATCCACACCCTGGGCGCCGGCGGCGGCAGTATCGCCAGGGTCGATGAAGGAGGCATTCTCCATGTGGGACCGGACAGCGCAGGAGCCGAACCTGGGCCGGCGTGCTATGGCAAGGGCGGCGTAAATCCCACCGTCACGGATGCCGACCTGGCGCTAGGCTACTTGGATGCGGCCAACTTTCTTGGAGGCAGGGCCACCCTCGACCCTGCGGCCGCCGAGCATTCGCTGGGCGCGGACGTGGGTAAGCCGCTGAACCTCTCCAATGTCGAGGCGGCATACGGCGTGTACAAGGTGGTCTGCACCACAATCGCCGAGGGCATACGACTGATGTCGGTGCAACGTGGTGTTGATCCCCGGGAATTTACCATAATGGGATTTGGAGGCGCCTCGGGGCTCCATGCTTCGGAAGTTGCCCGGCAACTGCAGGTGGAGAAGGTGTACATACCGGCATCGGCGCCGGTGCTGTCGGCCTACGGTATGTTGAACACCGACATCAAGTACGATTTCTTCCGCTCATACCCGGTCAGTCTGGAACGAATGGATCTGACCGAGCTCAGGCCTATTCTGGATGAGTTGGGTTCTCAGGGACGGGACAAGGTACTGGCCCAAGGCGTAGCTCCTGAGGCGGTGGAGATTCAATACTCTGCCGACATGCGGTACCTGGACCAAATCTACGAAGTGACGGTGCCGCTGCCGGACCCTACCTCGCCGGTTTCGGAATTCGTCGCCCGGTTGACGTCCAATTTTCATCGACGATATCAGGAACTCTACTCTTACAGCCAACAGGATCAGGAGGTGCGGTTGGTCACCCTACGGGTGGCTGCTGTCGGCAAGCTTCCGAGGGTGGGGCAGCTTGATCGCATGGGAGATCAGAATTTAGCAGTCCCCATCGGCAACCGCCGCGTATACCTGGGTGAATGGCGAGACGCGCCGACCTATGCCGCCGATTCGCTGCCAGCCGGGGCGGAAATCGCCGGGCCGGCGATCCTGGAGTCGGACTTCACCACCATTCTGGTTTGGCCCGGTGACTACGCCACGGTCGACTCCATGGGCGGCGTCGAGTTGCGGGTGAACCAGGAAGCCGTCGTGGCCGGGCAGGACGCGGCGCGCGGCTCCGAGGGAGTGGATGGCGCGGGAGTGGATGGCGAGGGCAGTCCCCGGCATGACGATCCCATAACCCTGGCGGTAGTGGAGCACCGGTTGGAGTCCATTGCCCAGGAGATGACCGAGGCGATGCTGCGCACCGCTATGTCCCAGATCCTCAATTCCAGCCGGGATTTTTCCACCGCGATCCTGGACAGTGACTGCCAACTGGTAGCCCAGGGAGAAGGCATTCCGGTACACATCAGCGCGCTGCCGGTAGCCGGCGCAGCCGTGCGGGACTACTTCGGGTCGGACATCTCCGAGGGAGACCTGTTTATCCTGAACGATCCATATTTCGGGGGCAGTCATCTGCCGGACATCACCATTATCCGGCCCATTTTTTATGATGGGCGGTTGCTGTTTTACGGCGTGAACCGGGCCCACCACAGTGACGTAGGCGGAGGCACTCACGGAGGCTACAACCCGGGCGCCAACGAGATATTCCAGGAGGGCCTCCGCATACCGCCATTGAAGCTTTACGATAAGGGCGTCCCCCGCGCCGACCTGCTCCAGATGCTGTCGGCAAACGTCCGGCAGTCGGAGAATTTCCTGGGCGACCTCAACGCGCAGATAGGCTCGGTGATGCTGGCCGCCCTGCGGGTCCAGTCCCTGCTGGCCGACTATGGCGCCGACCGGTTGATGGCGGTGGTAGCCGAAATCCTGGCCGCCACAGAGCGGCAGGTGCGCCAATTCATCTCAGCATGGCCCGACGGCGAGTACTACGGCGAGTCGTTGGTGGACGACGACGGGTTCGACAGCAAGCTGGTGCCGATCCGTGCGAAGGTCACCATTACCGGCGACTCCATGACCATCGACCTCAGCGATTCCAGCCCTCAGGTTGAGGGGTTCATCAACAGCGCCTATGCCAACACCCGGTCCCTGGCCCACGCTGCGATCATGTACCTCGCGCCCATGGACGTGGCCCGCAATGAAGGTTCCATGCGGCCCGTTCAGATAATTGCGCCGCGTGGTCTCGTCGTCAACGCCAACCCTCCCGCGCCGGTGTGCATGAGCACCAACCATTGCGCCGAAGAGGTGGTGGAGGCGGTGTTCAAGGCGTTGGCCCCCGCTATTCCCAATGCCGTCTCAGCAGGATTCTCCCGCCGGTTGCGCTACGCCATCACCG